ACAAAAACAAACAAAAAAAATCCAGCAACATCCTCCCTATCCCAAGTCTTATCCCTCAGATTCAACCTCCCTACTCCAGCTCATTTAACACCATTGGACACATTTCTCTTATGTATTTGTATCATGCACCAAAACACACACATCTGAGGGCAGGTGTTTTTGTTTGTCTTATTCAAGCCGAATCCCCAGTACCTTGTGTAATATCTGACTACATATCTTTTTTTTATTATTTATTTTTTATATTTTTTTGAGTTGGAGTCTCACTCTGTTGCCCAGACTGGAGTGCAGCGGCAGCTCCCAGCCACCGCAGCCTCGACTTGCTGGGCTCCAGCGATCCTTCCACCTCAGCCTTCCAAGTAACTGGGACTACAGGCGTGCGCTACCACACCTGGCTGATTTTTTTATTTATTGTAGAGATGAGGTCTTGCCAAGTTGCCCAGGCGGGTCTCGAACCAGTGGGCTCAGGTAATCCACTCACCTCAGCCTTGCAAGACGCAGGATTACAGGCTGAGCCACCGAGCCTGGCTTTTTATTTATTCTTGAATGTTAGTTGTGTTGCATACATTATCGTCAGATTTCTTAACATCTTTGCAAAGGAGATATTATTCCCATTTTACAGATGGCTACACATTTTATACCCATGTAATGGAAATGCATAGTCTCAGAAATGAAATCATTTGCTGGGCGTGGTGGCTCATGCCTGTAATCCCAGCACATTGGGAGGCCAAGATGAGAGAATTGCCTGAGCCTATGGGTTCCAGACCAGCCCGGACAACTTGGTGAGACCTCGTCTCTACAATAAATCAAAAAAAATTAGCCAGGTGTGGTGGCGCATGCCTATAGTTCCAGCTCCTGGGAAGGCTGAGGTGCAAGGATTGCCTGAGCCCAGCAGGTCGAGGCTGCGGTGGCTGTGAGCGTGCTACTGCACTTCAGCCTGGGAGACAGAGTGAGACTCCAACTCAAAATAAATAGATAAGAAATGGAATCACTCAGTGTGACCTTTTTTTTGAGACAAGGTCTTGCCATGTTGCCCAGGCTGGAGTGCAGTAACCACAAGCATGATCATAGCCCACTGCAGTGTTGAGCTCCCCGGCAGCCTCCCGAATAGATGGGACTACAGGCACACACCTCTAGCCTCCACCATGCCCAGCTATGTGAGCACTTGTGCAGAACCTGAGACCTATAGCCAAAACATCGTCCAGAAAAGAACCAGTTTACACTTTCACCACTAGCTGGCACGTTGGTACTATCCCCGGTTTCAGTGAGGCAACAGATCCATTGAGGGAAGAGGTTTTCCCGAAATCCCAGGCCAGGACTCCAGATTCTCAGAAGACACTGTGACAACTCAGAATACTGTGGGAGGATCCTAGAAAGCTTGACAGAAGAAGAGGTTCCTTAGGGATGGGATGAAAGGACAGAAGGAATTCTGTCAAGTAGAAAAGATAAGGCCGGGCACAGTGGCTCACTCCCGTAATCTGAGTACTTTGGGAGGCGAAGGTGAGAGGATTGCCTGAGCTCAGGGATGTGAGACCAGCCTGAGCAAAGTGGTGAGGCATTGTCTCTACAATAAAAAAAGAAAAATTAGCCAGGCGTGGTGGCGCAAGCCTGTGGTTCCAGCTACTTGGAAGGCTGAGGAGGAAGGATTGCTTGAGTCCAGCAGTATGAGGCTGTGGTGGCTGTGAGCATGCCATTGCACTCCAGCCTGGGTGACAGAGCGATACTCCAACTCCAAAAAAAAAAAAATTAGAAGGCTGGGGTGCGGTGGCTCAAGTCTGTAATTCCAGCACTTTGGAGGGCCGAGGCAAGAGGATTGCCTGAGGCCAGGGGTTTGATACCAGCCTGGGCAACTTGGTGAGACCTCATCTCTACAATAAATAAAGAAAAATTAGCTGGGCGTGGTGGCACACGCTTGTGGTTCCAGCTACTTAGAAGGCTGAGGCAGAAGGATCATCTGAGTCCAGCAGGTCAAGGCTGGGGTAGCTATGAGCATGCCACTGCATTCCAACCTGGGTGACTGAGTAAAACTTTGGGAAAAAAAAAAAAGAGAACAGGCTGAGCTCAGTGGCTCACGCCTGTGATTCCAGGACTTCGGGAGGCTGAGGCAGGAAGATCGCAAGCCCAGGAGTTTGACACCAGCCCGGCTAATGTAGCGAGACCTCATCTCTACAAAAAAGTCAAAAAATTAGCTGGGCATGGTGGCGCATGTCTGTAGTCTCAGCTACTCAGGAGGCTAAGGCAGGAGATCGCCTGAGTCCAGAAGATCGAAGCTGTGGTGAGCCTTGATTCTGCTACTGCACAAGACCCTGAATCGAAACAAGAAAAGAGAAAAGAAATATCATTCCAGGTGGAAGATATATTATGAATAGAATCAGAAACTTGGAGAAAGGGAGAGTCTAGGCTGATGGGGTAGAACCTTCCCACCCTGGAGGGCTGAGTGGGCCTACAATATTGGCCAGAGAGTCTGAAGCTAATTCCATGGGCACTGGGAGGTCAGGGAGAATTCTGAGCAGAGGAGTGATGGGAGACTTGAAGTGTCCTGCCATCTGCCTGTCTATCTGCTGTCTTTGTTTCCATTGACCTGTCCCTCTCCCCCTATGTGTTTCTTTCTTTCTGCTGCTACGGGCCCTCCCATGGCAGTAAGTCTTGTCACAACCCTAGCAGCCCATCAGGAAGTAGGAAAGGGAGGGATGAGCTGGGGTTGCAGCCTCCCCAGAGCCTCGGTGCCCCGTGTCCTATCCCAGAGAAGCAGAGGAAACAAGACTTGGGGGGCAATTCGGAGGGGAAGGTGCCTACTGCCCCGCCCCCAGATTGACGTGGAGGTGCTGGCCTCCCTCCCCCTCTGGGGCCGGGCCTCAGGCCCTCACACTTCTTGGGGCCGACTCTCCGTGCCTAGTACCAGCCAGTGCCAGCTGGCAGCTCTCACCGGAGACTGAGGTGGCACGAATGTGGGGGAGGGGAGGAAGTGGGCAGGGGCCCAAGAGGAATAGGGGCCAGGATCTGAGGAGGTGGTCAGAAGCTGGGTGGCCAGCGTGGGGGTCTTGAAGGTTGCGGGAACTGCTCGGCAGAGGAGCTGGGGGCTTCCAGGGGAGCAAGGAGGTGTCAGCCCCCACACTGTCTCCCCTGGTCCTGGCGAGTCCAATCCCCTCCTCACCACCTACTTTCCGCTACACTCACCCCCTTAAGCTGCCCCTGGCTAATTCTTCCTGGTCCCTTTAAGAGCTGCCTGGGAACTGGGGCACTGGAGGGGGCTGGCCGGGCCCCCACTCCCTCCCTGCCATGCCTGCCCCTGCTCCACCCCCTGTCCAGAACAGACTCTGCTTGAAGTCCTGGACGCCTGGGTTAGGGTCTCCACTGCTGGGCTGGGGGTAAGGCTTGAAGTGGTGGGGAAGGGGGATCATGGATCATGGTCCCCGGGGCGGGATGGAGGGGCGGGGTGCCGGAATCCTGGGACTACAGACACCGAGTGTCAGTGCGCCCGTTTCGATGGACAACGTAGGGGGTGGCCCTCTGCCTCAGCCTGGGGAAGGGTGGGTCCAGGGATCTCCAGGGCAGATTCTAGGGAGCAGGACGCAGGAGAAGTGGGGATTAGCCTTCTGCAAAAGCTCTTGCTCCTTCTCCCCCAGAGACCCGGACACAGGAGGGCTGCGTGTCCACTCACTCCAACAAGGCTCTAACTGTGGCCATGGCCACCCCTGACTAAGGCCCTGCTCTCTTCAGGACAACTTAGCTCCTTTCTGGAAGTTTTGACTTCCATATGCGAAGGCCAGGGGAGGTTAGAAACTGGAGCAAAGACCCTAGGACATCCAAGGGGACGTGAGGTCTTTCTGAGGTCACCCTTCTTCCTTCCTGTTACGGTGATAGTTCAGTTTTCTCTGGTCCCTGCCATCTTACTCCCAAGTGATTTATTCCCCTGCAACCATGTGTCCCAGGCCTGATGGAGACATGCCTGAACTGACAGGCACTCTCTGAGTCCTCAAGGCCCCGATGTGGAGGGGCGGCAAGGATGGTGTGTCAGGAAGCAGTAGGGGACAGCAGCTCTGCTCAGGGTCCACTTCTGCTTTCAGCCCAAGCCATGCCCTCCTTGCCCCACCCCAAAGGAAATGCTTAACCCGGAGTAAAAAGGGAACAATCTTGGTCTGCGAAATCCTCTAGCTGGGGCTGACACCAGCACACTCACTTCCTCCTTCTTAAAAATACAATTAAGTCTGGAGAGGAACCAAGCTGCTCCCAGGTAGACTGAAAAATCCTGATTTTACCTACTTTAGGTCAGAGAGGGCAAGTGTCCTGTCCAGGACCACACAACAAGTTACAGGAAACCAAGCCTGGGACCCAGGGCTGTTGGTCCCAGCCTCATGGTGCCTTTTTTGGGCCACCTGTGAGTTGAGAGAAGCCACCCTGGAAGGGGCTTTTTCACCTCCTCATTTACCGGTGAAGAAGTCGTGGCCCAGCTGGGACAAAGGGGGCTCTGGTAATAGGGTTGCTTAAGATCAGGGCCTGGAGAGGGCACAGGTCCAGCACCCAATATCTGCTCACACCCTGGAACTGCCTCTGCTTCCCAGATGGGAAAGAATCCGGCTCAGTCTTCTCTGTTTCTACCCTCACCTTGTCTAAACCTTTGGAAAGTCCTTTCTGAAGTCTGCCCTCCACCTTTCCTCCTTCAGCACAAACCTCTCCCTCCTAATAGGTCTCAGGAGGTGTTAGCCAAGAAGGCTTCTGGAGGAGTCGCCTTTATTGTAAGGCTTAGGAAGAAAAGGCCGAACCTGAACCTGGCAGCAACACCTCACCCTCGGAAGTCAGGAGAGTATTAGCAGAAGAGAGACTCTCGGACTGTTTGACAGAGACCTCGACCTTTGGGCTTCTTTGCATAGATATTTGTGTGTTCGTTTGCATATTTGCCAGCAAACTCAATTTGCCTGGGGCCACGCTGGCATCCAGGTGTGTCTCCCCCCATACACACAATCCCCAGGGAAGAGGAGACCCGAGAAACCATAAAGGAGATTGGCCCCAGCTGACCCCCTGAACCCAGCTGGGGACAGCTACACGGCAGTGCCTGCCTGAAGGTGGGCAAGGGAGCCGAGCAGGGCCCCAGGGGCCAGTGGTCCCCCTCCGCCTCCTCCAACATCCGGAGCCCCTCCTCTTCCACACATGTGAATCCAGGAGCTACAGAAGGTGGGGAGCAGTAGGACTCGGGTAGGAGGAGGAAGAATATGGGGAGATGCTAGTCCCTCCCACTCAGAGTTGCGGTCGCCATGGTGACTGAGGACCAGTGAGGCAGGATGGGGTTGAGGATGGGGGTGGGGGTGTGGCAGGGACGAGGAGCTGGGAGACCGAGCGCCTGGCATTCCAGGGGGAGGAAAACGCAGCGGGATTCCCGAGCTCCAGGTAGGGAGCGGGAGGACTGGCAGACAGTTCTAAAGGAGGGGGTGGGCCTTTGTCTGGGGCTGGCTCTGCCCTGAGGAGGGGGCAGACCCAGGGGTCGAGCCACTGTGTGCTCAGCACAGCCTTCCAGACAAGTCCGACTGGAGGAGGGAACCTAGGAGGCCCTGGGTAAGGGGTGAGAGATGGAACTGGGTGGTGACAAGTAGGCGGGAGACAGTGGGGATGAGAAGAGGTGGAGGGACGCCCGGGGCTCAGAGGCTTGGGGACATCCCCAGTGCCTACACACGGCAGGCGTTCAACACGTACACAAGTTGACTTGACTCGCTTGTGATCATAAGGGAGGGGTGGGCAGGTGGGCTGAGGAAGGGGAGTCAGGGGGCGGGTGCTGCTGGGACTGTGCTTTTCTGAGGGAGGAGGCGGGGGACGCTGGACCTGCCAGGTCACTGGTGAAGTGGAGCGGCTTCTATCCTGGCTCACTCAGTGAGGCATCCGTGCTCTGCAGGGGCTCCGAGGAGGCTGCGCCCTGGGGTTAGCTGATACCCGGAGGTGGCACAGGGTGGGCTGGGAAGCAAGCGCTCTGTCTCCTCTCCCACCTCCACCTAGACACCTAGACCTCCACTCTGGGCGACGATACCTGGCAGTAAAGGGCTACTGGGTCATGTGGTCAGGGGCGATGGGGAAGGAATCCTGAGAAGAGCCGCAGGGGAAGAGGCGGAACCCAGCATTGTTGCCACGGGTATCCCCAGGCTAGGATCCAGAGCTTGTGGGGGAATGGGCTGGGGGAGCCCCCAGATTGAGGTTATGAAGATGACATGGCCCATCCGGACTGGTCCCTGCACATCTGACTTCTGTCCACTGCCTCCCCTTCTGACCGGCTGCCCGACTCCACCCCTGGGCAAGGTACTTCCCTCCCTGGCCTCAGTTTCTTCATTTGTACAGTGAGGAAGGGGGTGGGACTCTGTCAGCTCTGAGCATCCTTGACACTGTGGGCAGGACCTGCTCCATAATTTGTGGGGTCCGGCGCAAAATGAAAATGCAGGGCCCCTTGTTTAAGAATCATGAAGACTTTCAAGAGGGCAACAGCAGAGCATTAAGCCAACGTGGGCTCCTGTGAGCACAGCGCCCTGTGTGACTGCACGGGTCAGCATGGTGCAGCCGGTCCTGGCTGTGGGCTCTGCCTGCTGCAGTAGGAAGACAGCAGTGAGGCTTTGGCTCTAACTTGAGGCTGAGATGCGAGGGGCGCACTGCCGGGGGAGCAGAAGCAGGGGTGACACTGATGGCCTTTCTTCAGGGAGCTTCCTGTTCCCTGCAAGTCAGGAATCCCCCTCAGAGATACTGTTTCTTAGCTGGGAGAAACAGAGCCTGATCTACGCCCCCCCACCTTCTCCATCCAAGAGGCTCGGAATTGAGTTTCTTAGACTGGAGCAGGAGGCAGGGCTGAGGGAGCCTCTGTAGAGTCCGTGTAGCTAAGTGATTTGCCTTCTTTTTTTTTCTTTTGAGTCAGGGTCTCACTCTTCTTGCCCAGGCTGGAGTGCAATGGCACAATCATGGCTTGCCACAGCCTTGAACGCCTGGGCTCAAGCAATCCTTCGGCCTCGGCCTCCCAAAGTGCTTGGGATTGCAGGCATGAGCCACGGTAGCTGGTTTGAGATTTCCTTCTAAATGAGGCAAATCTGAATGCAACTTGGTTTCTAGCTGTGTAACCTTCCTCTGTAAAATGGGATTATGGTGGTACCTACCCACTAAGATTGGTGGGAGGACTAAAGCCTGATAGTGTAAACCATTTGTATTGGCTGGAGGGGCTGGGGAAGAGGAGAGCTGGGGCTGGGAGAATTCTGGATGTCTGGAGGAGGAACTGGGGGCGGGACACTGCGTCTACCACTTCCAGAGAGGCAAGAATCGGGCAACGGGCTGGGAGAGAGAACTGGAACTCCCCCCACTTCTCCCTATCAGAACTCCTCCCAGTGACCCAGATAAGCCAATCTGTCTAAGCAGAGAGGCCCAGGGGCAGAGTGGCTTCCCAAATCTGAGCTGGAGGTTAGGGAAACACAGAAGGTAGGGTCTGGGTAAATGGGAATTCTTGATTCTAAGAACCTGAAAGAGACCTGGCACCCAGCCTCTGGGAGAGTCTGGGGGAGTCTTATGCAAGTCCTGACAGAGACAGTTGCCAGAAGGGGTACATCTGAAACCAACCCCTGGGGAAATTGAGCGAGACAGAGAAGGCTGAGGAGCCCAGACACAAAATTCTAAGGTGTAGCCCGGGCTGTGGCATCGCCCGCGTTCGCTGGTACTGCAGCAGGTGGGATGGAAAGTCCACTACCAGAAGGACTTCCTGCTGGTGAGCAATGTGCTTTTAAGATGGAGGTGGGTTATTTATTAGAGCTGGTAGCCCTGGGATGTCGGTGCTCTTTAACCTGAGTCAGCTGACCCAACTGAGGGGGCAGGAACCTACCCACTTTATAGGCCACGGAGTTCTTGGCGCTGGATGCCTCGTTAACTGTGTTATGAGTCTCCCCCAGAGGCTTTGGAGAGGAGTGAGCAGCCACCATAGGGGGCTGGGTACCTCACAAGTGTGTTCATGAAGCATGAGCTCAGATGGGAAATTTTCTGGGCTTCCTACTGGCCTGATGCCACCCTGAGAGTGATGGAGATTAGACTATAGGAGGGACTTCCTCAGAAAAATCATGGATAAGAGCCTCACACAATTGTTTTGTTTTTTGAAGATTATGACCCAACTGAGAGTGGGAGGTTTGAAGGTTAGACCACTGCAGGGACTTCCCAGTAGGTAGAAGTGGAGAGACTCCCACCTTGTGGGTAAGTGAAAAGAGGAATATGAAAGATAGCGTCATGTCCCCTATCTGGGAAATCTTGAGCAAGAGGAGAAACCACTGCTAGGCTGGTTGGACTGGATGGGACGTGACAGAGGCAGGGGAATTGCTGAAATGACCTAGAAGGGCCTTTCAAGCTTTCTGGACGGACTGGGGCAAGAGCGGGAGAAAAGAGAGGTGTGTCTCCCGAGAGGTAGGTGAGCCTCTTTATATTCCCTCCCAATCCACCGACTTCCGCCTAAGCTGGGATCTGTCACAACTCGAGAGGTGGAAATTCTGGTTTCCCTCGCCCAGAGCTCCCAGTGCTGGCTTTGGCACGATGGGCACCTGGAGGGCCGTGCTCCCGTTTCAGCCAGGCTGAGCCTTCTGTCCCCTGCCTCTGGGGCCAGGGACCACCCCCCCTTCTCTTTCTCTTGGATGGCACCGCCGCTCTCTGGTTCAAGGGTATGTGAGGTGAGAGGGGTGGTTTGAGGTTGGTGGTCTTAGGGGAAGATTACAAAGAGGCCTAGGGAGGCAGACAGCTGGGGCAAGAGACTGGGAGGGAGCAGGGGCTGCAGAGACGGGGAGACTGACTGACTCCCTCCTGGCCTGCCTGCGGGGATCAGGCCATGAGGCTCAAGGGGTCAACAGGCCTGAACGTGGTGAAGTAAGGTCCGAGGAGTTGATATTTTGCATACAGGAAACTGCTCCCCCGAAAGTCCTCTGCCTAGGACCAGGCAGTTTGGGCTGTGGACTGTTGGGAAGAGGGAAGGCAAAGGAGGAAAGACATGAGGGATTTCCCTGGGGCCGGGTGAGAAGAGGCAGAGCTGATCTGCCGGTGAGAGAGAAGAGGCAGACACGGACTTTCTACACCCCAGCCAGAGGGGAAAGTGAGGCAACAGGCGAGGTCTGGGAGGAGAATGGAAGTGAGTCTCTCTGAGGGCACTTCAGATAGGGAACCATCCCCTCCCCAGCATCCCCCCCAACTTCTGCTGCCTGGGGCTCTGCGATTGGTCCCCAGGGGGGATGTGGTAAGGACTGCTCACCCAGAAAGTGCCTGGGTGCCTTTTCCCCCAGAGCGGTGTTGTGACAGCCTTTGGCTGAGCATGGCCCTCCCAGCCCTGGGCCTGGACCCTTGGAGCCTCCTGGGCCTGTTCCTCTTCCAACTGCTCCAGCTGCTGCCGCCGACAACGACCGCGGAGGGAGGTGGGCAGGAGCCCATGCCCAGGGTCACATACTCTGCAGGTAAGTGTCTGCTGGCCAGGAAGTGCGGGGATGGCAACAGAGAGCTGGAGGGGGTGGAAGGAGAGAGAGGGAACGGGGTGGGAGGGAAACGGACACAGAGAAACAGAGACACGGGGACACATGCCAGCGAGAAGCAGAGGGCCCTGGGGAAAGACGGAGGCCAGAAATGAAACGGAAACCGAGAGGAAACCCACTTGAGGTACAGACTGAAGAAACGAAAGACGGAGCTGGGGCCAGGAGCCGAGGACACTGCTCCTTGGCCCTTCTAGTTCTCCAAAGTTGGTGATTTTTCTTTCTTTCCTTAAATATCACTGTTAGCCAGGCACAGTGGCTCAGCCTATCATCCCAGCACATTGGGAGGCCAAAGTGAGAGGATTGCCTGAGTCCACATGTTCAAGACCAGTCTGGGCAACTTAGCGAGACCTCACCTCTACAATAAATCAAAAAATTAGCCGGGCATGGTGGCGTGTGCCTGTAGTTCCAGCTACTTGAAAGACTGAGGTGGAAGGATCACCTGAGTCCAGCAGGTTGAGGCTGCGGTGGCCGTGAATGCGCCACTGCACTCCAGCCTGGGTGACAGAGTGAGACTCCGACTCAAAAAAAAAATGTCACTGTCACCAAGCTGGGCACATCAAACCCCTAACTTCCTCCAAACCCCTAGAGCCCCAAAGTCAAGGCCCATGCTAGAAGACTATCTGTGGACCTAGTGACCCAGGACACGCCAGGCCCAGTCAACCACAGAGATCATGCTGGACCACATCATGTCCAGTACTAGGGACAACCAGTAGAATATGGGCTGTGGAACCCACTAAGAGGGAGCACAGCTTGACTGGTTTCTGTTTTGGTTTATTTTTTATTTTTATTTTTTTGAGTTGTAGTGTCACTCTGTCGCCCAGACTGGAGTGCAGTGGCCGCTCCCAGTCACCGCAGCCTCGACCTGCTGGGCTCCGGCGATCCTTCCACCTGATTTTTTATTTATTGTAGAGATGAGGTCTCACCAAGTTGCTTAGGTGGGTCTCGAACCCACAGGCTCAGGCAATTCACTCACTTCAGCCTCCCAAGGCGTGGGATTACAGGCTGAGCCACTGAGCCCGGCTGTTTTGGTTTTTTGCAAGCCTCTCACCTCGCCCTCCCAAAGTGCTGGGATTACAGGCTTGAGCCACCGCATCCAGCCTTGGCTGGTTTCTTACTGAGGCTGTGGGGGCTGCTGACTCTGTCTCCTCCTGGGAGATTTGGGGAAGGACATGGACCCTGGAGGAGTTATTAGGGGTGCGGGCTCCTGTGTGTGGCTGTTTCTTTAACATCTTTCTTTCTTTTTTTATTTTTTTTTGAGTTGGGGTCTCACTCTGTCACCCAGGCTGGAGTGCAGAGGCATGATATGGCTCACTGCAGCTTTGACCTCTTGGGCTCAGGTGATCCTTTTGCCTCAGCTTCCCAGTAGCTGGGACTGCAGGACCGTGCCACCATATCCAGCTAATTTTTTGATTTATTGTAGAGACGAGGTCTTGCCATGTTGCCCAGGCTAGTCTCAAACTCCTGGGCTCAAGCAATCTGCCCACCTTGGTCTCCCAAAGTGCTAGAATTACAAGGGTCAGCCACTGCACACAGCCTGTTTTTAGTGTCTTTCTGGGGCAATCTGCTACAGGAAATGTGTGTCGCCCATTGATGGAGAGGCCTCCTCTGTGTTGGAAGCTGGGAATACAAATATGAACAGGATTCAGCCCCTACCCTCCAGGTGTTCACAGTGTCACTGGGGAAGCAGATGGGCAATCAGACCATCACACTACAGGGAACTGAGGGATTTCTTCAGCTCTGGGGGTCCTGGCCTCCTGGAGACACTCCTCCCTGAGGCTGGCCCTTCCAGCAGCTTGCCACACCTTGTTCCCAACCCCTCCTCTTAGTCCTAAGATTCTCTGAGCCTGCAAGGTACCAATTAGCTAGTCAGCCTCCTCACTAATGTGGCAGCGCAAATGTACTAGCAAGAGAGGACTTGGGAGCTCCTTTCCCCTGGCTGATGTGCCAGTGGGACAGAAACACCCCTCGCCACTACTACCACACCAAGGTCAAGGAGAGGGCCCAGGTGAGCCTCTTGCAACAGGCTTTCCTCCCCTGTCCAGGTGACATGTAGGCACGCCCACAAGGAGCTTCGAAGAAAAATGTTTCCTTTCTGTTTATGGTGATTCTAGTGGTAGAAATTTCCTGTAACAGAAGGGGAAGGAAGCAGGGGTGGTGGTGGGTGGCGAGAGGGACCCTCTGACACAGTCCTGGCGCGTCTAGCTTTCCCACTTGTGGCTGCCAACACCTTCCTGTCTGTCTGTCAGCAGCTCCCCTTCCAGTGGGGACTGAGGTATCTTCTTCCACCACATGAACGAACACCCATTGTGCCTATTTCCTATCCCTTTGTCATGGGTGCAGGCCATTCTTCCCTAGCCCAGGCTGGCATGACCCTGTCCCTGGCTGCCTCTCCTCTCTGCTCTGGACTCAACACACCAAGTTCCTGACTGGGCTCAGTGGCTCAGCCTGTAATCCCAGCACTTTGGGAGGCTGAGGCGAGTGGATTGCCTGAGCCCTTGGGTTTAAGACCAGCCCAGGCAACTTGGTGAGACCTCATCTCTACAATAAACCAAAAATTATCCAGGCGTGGTAGCGCGCACCTGTAGTTCCAGCTACTTGGAAGGCTGAGGCGGAAGGGTCGCTGGAGCCCAGCAGGTCGACGCTGGGGTGGCTGTGAGTGTGCCACTGCACTCGAGCCTGGGCGACAGAGTGAGAATCCAACTCAAAAGGAAAAAAAAAAAAGCTCCTGTGGCTGCCAGAAGCAGGGAGCTGCTGGGAGAAGAGTGAGTCTGGCTGCCAAGGCCAAGGCCAGGGGAGCACACTCTGCCAACCCTTCCCTTCCCCCACTTTGATCTCAGGAAATCAGCTGCCTGCCCATTAAGTCCTCATTATTTTCTTCTTCTCATCACCTCCCACAGGGGATGGACGCAGGGCACTTAGCTTCTTCCACCAGAAGGGCCTCCAGGATTTTGACACTCTGCTCCTGAGTGGTGATGGGAACACTCTCTACGTGGGGGCTCGCGAGGCCATTCTGGCCTTGAATATCCGGGATCCAGGTGGCCCAAGGCTGAAGAACATGGTGAGGAGGCTGGGGAGAAAGGGCATGGACTGGGCGTGAGGAGGAGGCTAGCAGCTGTCCTATGCCTAGGCTGCTGTGGGCAAATTACTGCCTGATTGCTGTTAACTATAATCAGTAATTCTTGGTATCACCAATACTGGTTGAATAATATTAATTGCAAAAACGGCGGATATGGAAATCATTGACACATGAGATAAACATTGACTCAAATTATATCAATAATTTGCCATCCACCCACTAGAAGAGATCACTGAGGCTGGCTTCTGTGTTACAGCCACCCTGATATAGGGGCGATGAGAGGAAGAGGGAGCAGGAAGGATGCGGAGAGGGGCTTAGCTTAACTGATCACCTCTACGTTTTGTGTTTCTCACTGTGTGGGCTGTTGGCCACCTGTGCATGTGGGGTGCTGGTTAAAAACGCAGATTCTCTAAGGTGTGACCCAGGAAACATTATTAACAATTTTTCCAGGAAATGTGTGGTTTGACAACTGCTCCTGTGTATACCATGCATCGCGCTGGGTACTTCACATATGCTACCTAGTGGTGTCTGCCAGCTGCCTATGAAACTGATCAAGATCACTCAGTCAGGAAGTGGCTGAGCCTAGATTTAGACTTGGGTCTGTCTGGTTTCTTAGGCAATGTGCAGTCATAGAGCTATGTATGATGAATATCAGAGGAATAGCTGTGGTCACAAACTGACATTTTTACTGCCCATCGGCATGTCACTAGCCACCATGCCTGCTGGTGATTTCACGCCAGAGCAGAGAAGGGGGTGGCAGGTCCCAGCTAGAGAGGAAGACCTCGTTTTTTTTCATCTTCCCCACTCCCAACTCCCCACTTGCAGATACCCTGGCCAGCCAGTGACAGCAAAAAGAGTGAATGTGCCATTAAGAAGAGCAGTGAGGTAAGTGGAGGTGGGGGTTGGGGGCTCTGGGTAGAGAGCCCTGTCTCTAGACCATCACTGGATGACCATGGGTTGGGCAGTTGGACAGAGCAGTGGAGGGCACTTGTTTGAGTGATGATCACCTGGATTGTTTTGTATAATTAAGTACAGGGAAGGCTGGGCACGCTGGTTCACACCTATAATTCCAGCACTTTGGGAGGCTGAGGTGAGAGGACTGCCTGAGCCCATGGGTTTGAGACCAGCCTGGGCAAGTTGGCGAGACCTCATCTCTACAATAAATCAAAAAATTAGCTAGGTGTGGTGGTGTGTGCCTGTAGGATCACCTGAGCCCAGCAGGTCAAGGCTGCAGTGGCTGTGAGCTTGCCACCGTACTCCAGCCTGGGCAACAGAGTGAGACTCCAACCCCCAAAAAGAAAAAAGATGTACAGGGACTGTCCCAGCATGCCCCAGCTCTTCCCCCACTAGGAATTGAGGGGGCATCCCCTGGGACCCAGGAGTTTGAGGCAAGTGGCCTGGAGGCCTGAATTCCATGTGTCTCCCCCAGATGCAGTGTTTCAACTTCATTCGTGTCCTGGTCCCTTTCAACACCACCCACCTCTACGCCTGTGGCACCTTCGCCTTCAGCCCGGCTTGTACCTTCATTGTGAGTTACCTGGTGGCAGCTCTCAGGCTTCCAGCGTCTCTTCTCACACCTGTCTTGGCCTTTCCTCAGGAGCTCTGGAAAACTCTTGCTTCCAGGCTCAGGACCCTCATGAACGTCCTGGCCCCAGACCAAGATCCCTCTAAGGCTCTTTCCCTTTCTCCCTCGTGACCCTCATTTGCTGGATGTGAGACCCTGGCGTTCTGGCCCCCAGCTTCTACCTCCCTCTAGGAACTTCAAGATTCCTACCTGTTGCCCATCTCCAAGGACCAGGTCACAGAGGGGAAAGGCCAAAGCCCCTTTGACCCCACCCACAAGCACACGGCTGTCTTGGTGGGTGAGTATCCAGTTTCCTGGTCTGTGCCAACATCTGCTTTCTCTAGTCATGCTGTGAAATATGGAATATTACAGTTGCCTAAAAGGCAGGGGAAGCTGGGAACAGCAGTATGTGACTGTAGTCCCAGTTACTCCAGAGGCTGAAGTGGGAGGCTTACTTGAATCCGGGAGTTTGAGTCTAGCCTGGGCAACATAGTGAGACCTCGTCTTAAAAAAAAACAAATTGCCAGGCGCAGTGGCTCACGTCTATAATCCCAGCACTTTGGGAGGCTGAGGTGAGAGGATTGCCTGAGCCCACAGGTTCAAGACCAGCCTGAGCAACTGGGTGAGACCTCATCTCTACAATAAAGCAAGAAAAATCAGCTGGGTGTGATGGCACATGCCTGTAGTTCCAGCTACTTGGAAGGCTGAGGCGAAGTGGAAGGATTGCCTGAGCCCAGCAGGTCGAGGCTGCGGTGGCCGTGAGCTATGAGCATGCCACTGCCCTCCAGCCTGGGTGACAGAGTAAGACTCCAACTCAAAAAAAAAAGTAAAAAAAAAAAAAGGCAGGGGACAGAGAGGAGCAGGGGTCCAGGCACCTCAGAGTACAAGATCAGAGGGATAATTAGGCACACCAACTAACAGCTCCTATTGAAATTGCCACAGAGGTGGTGGAGAGAGATGGATCTGGAGCAACTCAGAGGCGTGAAGATCTGGGAAGGGTATTAGGTAAAGAAGAGGCCTGAGATGCAGTCATTTGTTCAACAAATACGCACTGGTGAGCTAGGCATTATGCTGCATACTATAGGAGTTGCCAAGAAGAAATCATGGCCCTGTGCACTCCTGCACACAAACCGTTACAGATGTCCCACCCTGGCTTCCGGAGGAGGTGGCTTTTGGCTTTTGAGCAGGACATTGAAAGATAGAGTAGGGAAGGTGTTCCAGGGAGAAATGAGTAGGACCCAAGATGTGAAAGTGGAAAACCCGTCACCTTCTGGAATCAGTGAGTGATTCTACTTGGCAGGTGGCTTGGCTGGGTGTGTAAGGGAGTAGCCAGATAAAGGCTGGAGAAGTGCCAAAACATGGAAGGCTACTGGGTTGGCCATTTCCTGTGGAGAGAGGGACCTAAGTAGTGTGCTCAGTGGCAGGGGTGGGATTGGGGGTGGTGAGGGGGAAGCTGGGCTTTGGGGCACCTCTAGAAGGTGCAGAACTATCAGGGATATGGATGCTGCCTCCAGTAGGAAGCAGGTCTAAGGAGGACGGGGAGCCTCCACCTGATTTCTTCTCTCCATCCTCTTCCCACTCTAGATGGGATGCTCTATTCTGGCACCATGAACAACTTCCTGGGCAGTGAGCCCATCCTGATGCGCACGCTGGGATCCCAGCCTGTCCTCAAGACGGACACCTTTCTCCGCTGGCTGCATCGTAAGGACCCGACCCCCATTCAGCACAGGTCTGGCCTCCTCTCCTGAGTCCCGGAGACCTGGCGCTGTGAATGGCCATTAATGTGCTCAACTCTCACTTGTTGGGGGCACACCATGCATTACAGTTAGGTGTTGGGGGGTAGAGCAGGGAAGAAGCCAAAGCTCTGGTCTTCACCAAGCTTTCACTTTCCGTAAATAAATATAAATATATATATATATATATATATATCTTTCTTTTTTTA